CCATCTATAAGGGGAGCCTTATTGTAAAGTTGTACCTTTTTAAAAAGAATTACAAGTGTTTGAACATGTATGACTGGTTAAATGTAAACATTTTACCAAAACTGGAGATTTGTGTGAAAGGATGRTGAACAAAGACTTGGCCCCTCTATGAATACTGTGGCCCCTTGATGGCCCCTTATTCAGAAAAATCCTAGATCTGCCACTGSTTACAGAAGATTTAAATGTATTTTGTTCAAATTAAACATTTTTGATTTTGTGTTTTGGTGCTTTTCAGGGGTAAGTTTAAAAAAAAAATTCAATAAAAGTATGGAATTTTTAAAAAATGTATTTCCTACCTCAGTAGATTTAGAGGTTTGGCTTTAATAAAAACAGTAGAAATAAAAGGACAGAAATCAGGGACTGACAGGCTCAGGTGTGAGGTATTAATTAGGCACAGATGGTAGCTTTCATGCATTTTTTTTTTTTATCTTGGTTATATTTTCAGCTCCACTTGGTTGGAAGCTTTGAGCAGCAGCTGCAGCGACTCTCTTCAGTTTGTCCCAACATTCTTCTCTGTAAGAAACATGAAAACTTCTGCTACTTTTTCAAGTTTTATTCACTCAAAAGCAAAACAAACAAAAAAATCAATCCAAACATGAGGTACACATAAAATTAAAGGTGATACTTTGAGTCTTCATCTGTCAAACGTGATTTCACTGAAAACTTCCTCTTTAGTCACTTAAAAAACTCATAAAAACTTAGTGTTTTATAGAAGGAAAACTGGAAACTTTTCAAACCTGAATTATCTCATCTGTGAAACACACAGGTAAACACGTGGGATTCTAATACAGAAAACAGGCGGGGCATCTTTTATTGCAAACCTTCAGTTCTACAGTTCATATTACACCAATAATAATGTAATGACCCAGTGGTCTCAGTCATATGGTGACCATCATGGTGGTAGCCTCAGCGTGAGGCCGCTCCTCGCTCCAGACGTGAGCATTAAGGTCTAATATTCTTCGTCCATCAGGCCCACTTTGTTTTACTGTAACTGGATTTAACGTCTCGCAGAAGTAYTAATAGCTCGTTTACAGTGTGTATCGATGTCTGTTCCGACAGTGCTTCCAGCTTSCCCTGCTCACAGCTCAGGCTTGCCCTCAGTCACTGGGCTGCTGGCTGCTCCTCGCTCACAGGAGGAGCCCGAGGAAGATGAGGAGTTTGTGTCCTCAGGCTGAAAAGCCAGTGAGGCTGAGTTAATGCAGTAACGCTTCCCTGTAGGTCTCGGACCGTCATCAAATAGGTGTCCAAGATGAGCTCCACACTGAAACACAGACATTTAGCAGATGATGATTTCAGTTTTAGCTCCTCTCCGTTGTTCAAATCTTATTTCTAAACATACAAAGCCCCAAGATCTTATCGTTCCATATTTTGCTAACAGAGGACTTGGTTCTCAGACTGCAGGTTTACTTGTGGTTCCCAGTGGTGGGCAGCACTAATTTAAATTTTAGTTCTGCAATTTCTAATGCGCTAGTCAATTTATTTAGGTCCGCAAGTTCAAAAGCACACAATGCTCAATATAACTTAGCGGAAGCTAATACAAAACGCAACAAGATCTCCTTATACCAGAAAACATTCAGGTAAGAGAAACGTCAGCACTTTACTGCCATCAAGTGGTAAGATCATTTTCTTAAACAGATTGGCACATATCGGCGCAGAATAGGGAGGTGATTTGTAGAAACAGACTTTTAAATCATGGTTGTAAAATAAAAAATAGTTGTTGATTGCTAGTTCTGCTGCTTCTTGGTCATTTTCTTATGTTTATGGCAGGGCTTCAGTAAGAAAACATGCAGATATATTAGTAATTTTAAACTGTTGTAAAACTGAAGCAATGCATTCTGGGTAGGCTACAGGACACAGAACAGGAACTCCGTTCTTTTCAAAATAAGAGCGTCAATTTAAACTGCTCCGTGCTTCTTTATTTATTGTTATTTATTTAATATTTATTGCCGCTGTGTTCTTCAGAGAGGAGGTACAAACTGCARAGCTGAGTGTGGTTCTGCAGATCAGAACCGCAGGTGGATTGTCGCCCAGTGAAGAAACTGTTTGCTTCCTGCCARGCAAAGGATTGTGGGAACACTACAGTCTCTATTAAGTGAAAACCATCACTGAGAAGCATCAGAAGTCAGAGTATAAAGCTATGTAAACGAAATGCAGACTGAGGGGTCACTGTTTCCTCACAGTGGAGATCCATTGTGTCAAGTAGCAAAAAGTAGAGACGGTGTTCTCGTCCACTGTTCAAGAAAATGATGACGAAGTTGTAATGAATTATGTGGCTACAGAAAGTAGTGAGACTWGATGGCTTTTTAGCTTTGCTGTAGATGAAATTGGCATTTGAATGTGAAACAGTATTTGCAATTAGCGCTARTCAATTCTAAATTTGGAAATCGCAAATCCGCACATCATTTTATGAAATTAGTAAAACCCCTAAAGCGCAAAAGAGAAATTTAGGTCCACAATTAGCGGATTTGCGTTTTTGGGGACTAGTGCCCACCACTGATGGTTCCTATAGAAAACCTAGTAATAAATGTAGCCGTAGTAAAAGTTTGTTTGCGGCCCACCTGACTGCAGGTGGTCTCCACTCTGTGCATCCCGTAGGAGAAATCGTCCGACAAAGTGATGGAGTCTTCTTTCAGAAGGTCGTAGAAGGACGGCCAGCCTGAACCAGATTTATTCATGTTTATTACAAAACACCAGACGGTCTCATGGTGGTCTCAGGACTAATGTTAAACTTTACAGAATGTTGTATGCAGGTGGGCAGGCGGGGCAGGGARGGAGTTTTTAGGAGTTTGAAATTAAAATAAGAGCTGAACGGAGGAAGCTTAACTCACCAGATCCAGAGTCAAATTTCGTGTTTGAGCTGAGAAAAGAAACAAAAAACAAATCAGAGAAATGTTCGGACACGTACGTTTATTCTCACACAGGCAAGCGTTCGACAGCCAGCAAAAATAAAAACCGATTTTCTGCAGTTTGAATCCTGAGGAAGATGAAATTGTGTTATTAAAGCTAAAACAAAGAAAAGGAGCAGAACAGAAGCTACAAGTAGCTAAAAACTAACTAAAAGTAGCACGCAAGACAAAAATAGAAGATCTCATAGAGAACAATATTTTTGAAAGAGCTGAATATATTTTAAATTAATTAAATAAATTTTCTAAACATTTACTTGAAGTAAACAAAAGTTAGGAAATGAAAGTATTACAACACATAGACATGTTTGTGTTGATTAGACCAGTGGTTCCCAAACTTTGTCTTCTGACCCACAAACTATCTATGGCGAAAACTTATGACCCCAATTATTACTGGCCTGAGTACATGAACTTCGTTAATAACCCTAAAAACACAGGCTTTTTGACAATCTAAACAGCTTATACACAAATATAAATACTTATATTTACTTATTTTGTGTTTTTGTAATAAGTATAGGGAAAATATTACATCAGCAATTATTTTATTACCCTTGAAATTGATTTCTGGAGATTATCCAAGGTGGTTCATGACACATAATTGGGTCCCAAGCCCAACTTTGGGAACCAAAGTGCAGTGGTTCCCAAACTTTTTAGCTTTTGACCCAAAAAAATAG